TTGTTTGGTGTACTAGTAATAACAAAGCTATTAGCCTATTGATCCGTTTCTTACCGTCTTAAATACTTACTCTTTTTAGAGCTTGACATCATCTATTGCTTGCAGAAGTTTGTTGAATTCATGTAGTATACCTTTGTAGTGCTCTGACTTGCATCATAATGCCCTTCCTTTTTTCCCTGTGGTTGTGCTTTGCTCTGCATAAGCATCTTAGTTGTATCACAATGGGTGAACTTGTGCTTTGAATCTTGTACCAGAATGATATGTAAATACAATTAGCTTGAGATAATTCGGTCTGGCAGTTTTTTTGCCTCTCATATGTTTAGAACTGCGAAGCTTGTTCTTGTTAACCATTCACTTGTGTTTTTTCTTTTCATTTGTTTTGCATCTGGCAAATTACCTCTAGGAGCAAGTTGCATGCTAGCACTTTTGCAAGGTAAGAAGTTGATTGGGTGGGAATAGCCAAACACCATGCTCTACTTGATTGCTAGGACCATGGGATTGTGGCTAGTTATATATTAGTGAATGAGAGGTTTTGTGATCAAATGGTGATGCATTGAATACTCTAGTGAGTGGATGGATAGGCTTATGGAGGCTTCTTTGCGGGAATTGATATTTTTTGTTGAGGAGGGTAGTTTATACCTCTCTTGCTTGATGGTCACATTAGATATGCATACTGTGTTGTAGATGCTAGGTACTTTGACTTTGTACACGTTGGCTCACTGAAGATGATAGGATCTGTACCTTCCTTCCTCCTTTCCCCATATATTTGGTGTTTCATTCTGTTGAAAACTCCTTTTTTTGCCTGGTAAGGCCGATGCCTACTTTTTGAACATTTTCTGAAACTTAAATAAACACCCTGTTCTTATTCTGAGTTGCTTCCTTTAATCCTGCTATTCGGCATCAAATAGAATCTCCTGCTGAGATTAATGCGCTTTGGTACCATGGGGTCATAGTTGCAAAGGTCTTCCTTTTGAGTCTTGTTATCAAGTGTTCTGTTGGATTTCAATGCGAATGAACTTATCATAACCATCAGCTATTTTGGCGGGTAATGCACAATTTAAATGATGTATACAGCAGTGCATTTTATGATCTCATGGAAGAACAAACTCGTGTGAGGCGGGCACTTTTGGTCTGGGGGAATGACTAACAGTAGTATTTATTTGTCATGATTTGACCGGTTCTTGCGCCTGTGTAGGTGACCAGAATTTGAATTAGCTCATGCACCGGTGACTGGTTTGGCGCTGGCGTGGTTATGTTGAACTGGCTGAATGTCAAGTACTGTAATTGCTTAAAAAAATAAAAAGGGGTACTGTAATTCTTAGCTTCCTCCAATAATCATGGAAGTGGGAGTGAGACTAGGGAGTAAGGGAGATCTAACTGCAATTCTCGTCGTATCCTACTTTTATTCATGCTTTCCTGTAGAGATGCTATCAATTTCCCTCAAAACAATTGGTCAAAAGTTAAAGAATTGCCCGCAAGATATTCTGCAATCTTAATCCATTTCTACAGTTTTGTGTGTAGTGGAAAAATCTTAAAAAAAAAAAAAAAAAAACTTGTCCTGGAGAAATGAACAAGGCTTTTTCAAAAATCATTATTATAATATATTTGGATTTGGAATTGTAGGTGAGTGGTTCCCCAACGTTCCAGTCCTCAAAGCTACTTATGTAATAATAATACGTTGAGCAAGTATATTTCCCTACGTAAAAGTCCACCTTCCTTTTGTAGTTTGCGGCCTTTGAGACTTGAAACTCCACATTTTAGTCCATGTCCCAGAATCTATCAACCCCTCGGACCATGGAGAGATGTTAGGGGAAAGTACTTGACCTCCTTAGACATCAAATCTTAGGTGGGAACCGGCATTGCAGGTTCTGTTTAGATTGTGGACGATTATATAAGGAGCGGGGCAGGGACGGTCAACCATCCTGAACAACAATATTATTTGTTTGGATAGAGTATTATTTGAAATATTATTTGGAATAATTACTGTAGTATTTTTTGTGATGTGATGTATGTGAGATAAAAAGGTGATTGAAAATATAAAAATGTGAATTGAAAAATGTGTTTATGATGCAAGCGAAATATTATTTGAGATAATTTCACTGTCCAAATAATATATTTTTTTGAATGTTTTTATAATTCTACGTAAATTTTCTGTACATCCTTTTTACAATAGAAGTGAGATATTTGTTATTGTTTAAGTGGATTCCATATACAATAATTAGTTTTTATTGTTAAGTTTTATAAATAGTTCACGCAAATTATATCTTATTTAACAAATATTATATTATTCAAAAATATTATCATGGATAATCGTTCGTGTCCGTGGTCGAATTATGTATATCAACCCATTTGTCAGAATACAACCGATTGGAATCCTAGTGGCATGCACATTAGATTGGAGCAAGTTTTTGGGATCGAAATAAGTAACGTCCCCATTTTGGCCGCTAGCCTGCACACACATGTTGGAAGAGAAAAACCAAAGGGAAAAGAAACAAAACCTTTTTAGAGCTCCGTTTGAATCGAGAAATTTGATGAAAAATTTGAAATTGATCTAAATCCCTCTAGTTGTTTGGATCACTTGAGATATATTTGGATTTATAATTTATTAATTATTTAAATATATTTTAAACACTAAATTAATTGATGATTTACAAAATTAAATATATATTGAGTGATCAAAACAATTAAAGAGATTTGAAAGGATTTCAAATCTTTCAACAAATCTCTCAATCCAAATGCAATATATGAGAATTGAATTTTGGGTCATCTTGTGCCCCTTTTGGGGTTGTAGTGCTTTCGGTAAAAAAGCACGTTTAGTTGTTAAAAGTATTTTCAAGGCTTTTGGTGAATATTATCCCATAAAATTATGAATAAAATTTTTTGTGTTAAAAGCACTTTTTGCAAAAAATAAATAAATAAATAAATTTTGGTGCTTTTAGAGTAACTTTTGTTATTTAAAAAATAAAACATTAAATTTAATTATTTTATTCTATATTATAAACTAAATAAAGAGATAAATACATTTAAAAATGTTCAAATCACATATTATCCAATACAATAAGTACTTATTGAACTATATCTCCAAATAGTATACTTAAAAGCACTTAATAAATACTTCTATCAGGAGCTCTATTAGCAAAGTATTTTTTCATAAATTATAATACAAGAAGTAATTTGTATACTAATTAATACAAGAAGTATAATAACCGGACCGAATTGCACGAAATCCCAACCGCATTGAGTTCTTTCCCCAAAAAAACAGATGAGCCAATGAACGTTTGACGTCAATTTCCATCCCAACTTTTTTGCTACCTGTAAAAACCAAAGGCAGGACTCATGAACTGCATCCAATCAGATACTCCCAGGTAACGCTAAATTCAACGAATACAATTGACAAAAAATCTTCTCGATTCGTTTCTGCAAAGCTATCTTCAGCCGAAGAACTGATAATCTTGTATTATACCACCACTCCATTAAAATATAAGGTCATGCTTGGATTGCTTATTTTCGTCGAAAAATATTGTCGTTTTTCGTGATTATATTTCCCTATCATCTTTTTTTCTCATATATATCAAATCGCTATAGTAATTTTTTTATTAAAAATGACGGAAAATGCAATCCAAACACAATCCAAACAATCGAGATGTAATCCCGAAGATTCAATGCCTATTTTTTTTTTTAAATTTGGAAATAAATATTTTGGCAGCACAAAATTTATGATATGATTTTTCTATAAGCGACTGGTTTGACATTATCATGTGGAGAGTTGGCCTTTTTGTGCCTAATTGAATCTCCAACTTTACACGTTGCAAACCAACGCTCATATGTGCAATGTCGTTTTTCAGTTAACTACAGCTGTGATTGGATGATGCACTAATGTAAGAGGCATCTTTTCACCACAAATCCCTTAATATTTTAAGAACTCATCCTGCCTGAACAGCCCAGATGTACAAGTTTGGTTCGAGGATTCAAGTCTTGCTAGCAATTTTTAACACTTCCAGATCAGATCTCATCTGATGTTAAGGGGAAAAAAAAAGAGTTGTTACTACACGACTATTGCAGTTGGAGATGTGGTTCTGTACAAAATGAATTTGAATAAATTCGATTCCGATCACCGTCACTATAATAATAAGCAAAACAGTCAATGGTAGTACCCTGACTGACGGGAAGTTTTACACCAATCAATACACTACGCATCTACTAGTTCTATGGCGTTTACAGGAAGAAGATGAATCGTTATACTCTCATCAGTCAAATTGAGATAAAAAGTGGTGGCACGGGCTGGTCTTTATTAGAAGGAAAACTACCCAAAGCACAAAGGCAAGAAGGAAACAACTATGAGCATGAGATGGATGCCAGCAGCTCTCGCTGTCTCACATGCTGCTTGAGATTTTAGGTGCACCCCCGACTTCGGCCTCCGTGACATCGACTCGGATCAGATTATTGCTTTTTAACACCGCGCGTTTTACGGATATGGTGTGAAACTTGCTACTGTTAGACCCATTGACTGTTTGGAACTTGAGTTTTTTTTTGTTAAGTTTACAAGTTTTTTTAAAAATTTTATCTATAATAACCTTAAATAATTTTTTGAAAATTTTAAACTATACATTTTAAAATACTTAAAAATTTATATATTTCAAAAATTTTTTTAAAAACTTTTACAGCAAGTTATAGTAAAATTTTAAATAAACATAAAAAAAAACTCACTTGTCAAACAAACAAGGCGTTGATCAAACTCGAAACAAGCTGTCCAATCGAGGAAAATCATTCTTATAGCTCAGTAATCAATCAGTCAATCACTCCCGGTTCAGTTGAGATGGCAACGCATTTGATTTTTTTGTTATTTTTTTTTTGGGTGGTTCGATAAACAACAAAATTTGTGGACCAAATAGGACGAGAATCGTGACAAAATGATCGCAAAAGAGGACGAAAATGATTGGAAAGATTCAGAAGAAAACCGTCTGCCCCTGTTGTAGAACATAGCAATGCTCCCTCTCGTTAACTGCAAGTAAATTAACCAACAATTTAAGGTGTCGGGGGAGAATCCTAGAAAGAATACTTGCTCCCGCAGCCAGAATCCCCTCCCATTTCTTTTCTTCATCCCCACCTTGGTGGCAAGCCAACTCTTTTTATTCCACCACCACCATAGCCAATAATTTACCTGCCACATTTCTCCGCCCCATTCGTCCGTCCTTCCTACGCCCCCCATATTTCCCGTTTGACTCACAATCCCAGCCAAGCATCCAAGAATCAAGATTCAAAGCCAACTCATAATCTCAACCAAGCCAAATAGTACTATATTTATTTTCCTAGTATAAAATCCTTAAATCAGACCCCATTTCAAACCAAAATCAAGGACCCTCCCGAATTTCGCACCCCTCCTCCCAACTCCTATTTCTCTCTGCCTCTTCAATTCATAATAGTTTAACCCTCGTTCATACGATGAACTGATTGTTTTTCCCTTTCGGGTAAATACTAAATGATCAATGGAAGCCGACAGGGAAGCGTCGTTGAACGAAAACAGCAAGAAGGCATTGTTAGCTAGAAGTGCATCACATGCACAAGATGAATTGAAGAGTTTCAGGACATGGCTGAAATGGATGTGCGTGGATCAATCTGATTGGTGGACTGCGTTTCTTTCGTGGTCTGTTTTTGTGGTATTGGCTGTCGTCGTCCCTTGTCTCTCCCATTTCTTTCTGGCTTGTAGTGATTGTGATAGCAGACACAGCAGGCCTTATGATACCATTGTGCAGCTTTCTCTTAGCACCTTGGCGGCCCTATCTTTCATTTGCCTTTCCCAGTTTGTGAGGAAATATGGGCTCCGGAGATTCTTGTTCTTCGATAGGCTTTGTGATGACAGCGAGACCGTCAGAAAAGGATACACCGTTCAGCTCAATGTAAGTTCCTTTCTTTCTTCCCTTGTTACTTTCTGTATTATTTAAGGTTACTGGCTTTGATGTTTAAGCATCCGACTTGTTTTCATGCATGGTTGATGATCAATCACGCGTTAGGGTTCAAGACAATAGAGGTTTCGACTTTGAAATTTCTGTCTTTTCGGCTAAATCAACCTGATATTCTGATCGTCCACGTTTATGGTAAAGGATCTCATTCTTTGGTTTTTGGAAATAGTCAAGTGGGGATCCTAGTATGTGATTAGCATAGGAATGGTGTATATACACCTGCGAGTTCGGAGAACTATGAATTCGTAAACATGTATGATTGTGTAGGGTGGTAAATTTAGTGTGGATCTTCTTGGAACATGCCATTTTGCTTAATTGTTTTGATGAGTGGCCTAAAAGTAGTATTTGTTTCCTGGAAACGAAAGGTCAGTCCTCTAGTAGTCTGGTGAACTGTAACCTGTCAAGTGTCAACTTAGAACAGGTTCTTCTTCTCAACCCATCATCTTTTATAGATTGAAGAATTCTGAGGGCAGGAAGTAGTGGTGAGGAGGGGGGGGGGGCAGGATAGCTGTATATAGGGGGAGGAGAGCTATATACAGCTCAAGACTTAAATTGTTGTTTATCACCCTGTTGTTGAGAACCACATTTATCACCCAATTAAACCTTTCTGTCAGCATTGTGAAGGAAACAAGGTGGTATATTGTGGTTGGATTGTTAAGTGCTTAAATTTCATAGGCAATCCTGGAAATAAAATTCTTGGTTAGTTCCTTTTCAATAACGAAAATAATCAGGTCAGGAGATAATACTAATAGCACCAGTCATAATCTGTGCATTAAGTTTACTAACGGCATAAGATTTGATGCCTAGCAAGTGATCATAGCTCTGGCAGTGAAATTGCAGTGATGTTTAAATCAATCAAGTAATTTGCTTTTCTGACAACCAGTGGCTATCTAATAGCCATTATTCTGTTTTGACCAATCAAGTAATTTGCTTTTTTCGACAACCAGACCCTTTCTAATGGCCATTATTCTGTTTTGATCAACATGATTGGCAATATTGTCTTTATATGCAGAGATCCCTGAAGATCGTATTCATCTTTGTGATACCTTGTTTCACAGTGGAGTGCGCTTACAAGATTTGGTGGTATAGCTCGGGTGGCACCCGAATTCCCTTCTTGGGCAACATAATAGTGAGTGACACTGTTGCATGTATTTTAGAGCTTTGCTCATGGCTCTACAGGACTGTGGTCTTCTTCCTGGTGTGCATTCTCTTTCGCCTCATCTGTTATCTTCAGATCCTCCGATTACAAGACTTTGCACAAGTCTTCCAGGTAGAGTCTGACGTCGAATCAGTGTTGAGGGAACACCTCAGGATCAGAAGGCATTTAAGAATTATAAGCCACAGATACCGCTCATTCATTTTATGGGCATTGATCATCATAACAGTTAGCCAGTTTGCATCCCTACTCATGACTACGCGCTCAACTGCTGATCTTAATATATACAAAACCGGTGAACTTGCTGTACGTTTCCTAATTCCATATTCTTTTCCAATATTTCCATGATCTGTTTATGAGAGAAATTTGAAGCTGAATGCCTCATCTTTGGTATGCAGCTATGCTCCGTCAGCCTTCTTGCAGGGCTGATGATCCTGTTAAGAAGTGCAACCAGAATTACACACAAAGCACAAGCTGTTACATGTCTTGCGGCCAAATGGCATGTCTGTGCAACAATAGATTCGTTCGATACAACTGAAGCTGAGACGCCTATTTCTAGGGTGCCTGTCAACCACGTTTTTCCGGTGAGTTCTGATGGATCTGACGCTGATGATGATGTTGGCGATGAAGAGGATGATATAGACCACACCAAGCTCGTTCCATCATACAACTACAACACAATTTCATTCCAAAAGAGACAAGCCTTAGGTGAGTTGGTATAAAACCTCATACAGTCCAAGAAAAAAGCCTTTTACTACCACTACATCAGGAATGTGGATGATAGTGCATCAAATTCGTACTTGTGTTATTGATTTTTTGTCACATGATCATGATGCCGGGCTGTTCTCAACTGTATCTTCTTTCAACTTTTGGCTTTCTTAAAGCTAGGAAAAGCCGAATTCAATCAGAAACTACACAATACATGTTTCTGGAATTCTGATTTCGGCTTTTGAAAAATGCAGCTTTTACGAAAGTCAGAATCAATTGAGAACAACCTGGCTATCTCATCGTATTATCTTTGTCGCCTAAATAACCAATCCTCAGAAACAATTTTTTGTTTTTTGAGTTTGTAAATTAGAGACTTGATGGTGTATGCGAGGCAGCTGATTGTTTTGGATGTTGCTATGCATGTCGCAGTGACATACTTTGAAAACAATAGAGCGGGAGTGACAGTCTATGGATTCATGCTGGATAGGACCTCGCTTCACACGATATTTGGCATAGAGTTGTCCCTTGTGCTTTGGTTGCTTGGAAAGACCATCGGTATTTCATAGAAAAGAAACAAGAGGGTTGCGAAATTTTGTGTGGGATTAGCATTTAGGCCATGTTGGGCAATTGACCCCTGAGAAGAGATTTGAGGCGGTTTGCTTTGTCGCCGCCCATTACCATCCATGAACGATCAGCGACGAGTGACAGCGACGGAGGAAGGTCTGTCTAGCTATAGCTCTAGCTGGCGACATCTATTCAACATTTTTTTGTCAAAATATCCTTCGTGCGTTCTTCTTCATCTTCTTCTTTTGTGTATTTTTTTTTTTCAAATAGCTCTTGATTTCTATTTTTTCTTGTGAAGTATCAATGTCGATTAATGTTTCTTTGTTTGTACTTATGCTGCAGATGATATGTAACGTATTTATATCTGTTGAGCTACTGTCATCATTTTATTTTATTTTATTTTTTTTTAAGAAAAGAAATTTGGATAAGTACGGCTCCCGTCACCACTTTTCTTGGTAATGTCCAGCTGGGATTATTTTTATGATGGTAAAGTAATATGAGTCTATTTTTTGGTATTTTTTTCGGAGACAATAACAGTTGTATAATCTAATCTATTTTACATTAAGAGGGAGGAGGCGGATCTAAGGAGGTCCAGAGATAACTCGGAGAGGAATGAATCATCACCGGATCAAATAAGTGCATAACACATTCGCCTGAATTTTTTGAAACAAATCACTCAAATGTGACATTTTGGTGAATCTTGTTTCCCACTCCACCAAGCTAGTCCATCAAGCTAGGTGGTAGCCACCGGTCCCTTTCATAACTCACAGTTTTTTGTATGAGTGTTTCGATAAATGGACTCTGCGAAGACACTTCAAAAGCCGGCAACTTTTGAAGTGCTCCGCAGCACTTAACTACTAAACCCCCCAAACCCCCCAAGCGATGTGGGAACTTAACCCCACGCACAGGGTGCCCCGGTAGCCACCGGTCCAAGATTGGTATTTTTTGGTATTTACACCAAAGAAAAATATCTTCCCCAGTGGGGACATGGGATGGAGGCATTAAGAAATTTGAGACGCTCCTTTGATGAGCACTAATGATGATATAGGAGTAAACGATTGTACTCTCAAAGGAAAAAAAAAAACTTCAGTCAACGTCTCCACGGTCGAAATGTGACCTTCACTCTGACGTGTCCATGCTGGAATTGGAAATGCGTGTGTGCGTGTTCCGTTTTGTCATTTGTGCAGTTTTTTTTTTTTTTTTTTTTTTTTTTTTACACAAATGTTTATTCACAAGTTCTAAAAACCCAAGTCAAGATCGCTGCCTACTTCCATGGCTTTGCTTACAATAAAGAAACAAAGCACTCTTAACGCGAGAATAATATATGAAAATTGGATGTGTACCAAGGGGAAAAAAAAAAACTAATGACAGGATAAAGTTAAGAGACGCAAAAAAGATTAATAGTCGAGTGTATTTGGGTAGAAAATTATTTAAATTTTATTTAGTAATCATATTAGCACTTTCTTTCTTTGATGTAATTTGTACTGGATAAAAGTATAATAAAAAAAATTATAAAAAATGTATTTATGATACAACAAAAAATTCTTTCCAAATAATCAAATATGCAAGACACACTCAAAATGAACAATACATTCAATGAGTAACAATTCTCAATGGGATAGTTTAGCGATAATAATTATTTGAGTGAATATTAATAGTTCGATATTAATAGAATTTGTTCTACCACATGCAAAGACTAAATTTAAATACTTATGTCATGGTTGTGAAAACTTACTAGTGTGCTTTTCTAATTCGTTATTGCCTTTCATAAATTTGTTATTTTTAATGTTCAAGGAGTTTATAGCTTTTTGTTGTTTCCATATTAAAAGCACACCTTAGTCATTAAGGAGACAAATCATAGGGACATGGAGAAGGGTATTTTCAATAATAATAAATCAGATGCCAAAAAAAAAAGAAAAAGAAATTGAACACCTAAAACGACGACGTCGAAAGTTAAATTTAATTGCCTCGCGTCCGCAAAATGGCTCTCTCCTTTCCGCCTAACGGAAGCGATGGCACTAATAAATCCTTCTTCAAATCCTGTAGCTTAAAAACTAACGAACTCCTAAATTAAAGCCGCGGGGGGCTGGTGCATTCGCTTCAGAGAACGTTTAATCATTTGGAAAGCGGAGTCGAGTCATGGAAATTGATTCCGCTCCAATCAGCCGATGCTCCAAAGAAAACCAGAAGATCTATCAGGACTGGTTCGCTTTTGCTGATTCAGGTCTCTTTTTCTTCCCCAAATCTCCCCCCTCTCTTACACATTGTCCTTTTTGTTTCAAAATTATTCAATTTTTGAACTCTTTCTATTTGATAACTTTTGAATTTTTTTTTTCTTCAAATTTCAGATGGAGATGGGCGACTTACAGGAGCTGACGCCACCAAATTCTTTGCCCTCTCAAATTTACCTCGCCATGATCTTAAACAGGTTTTGTTCCTAGCTACGTATTCATCATTGTCTCCTCTCTTGTTTTCCTTTTTGTTCAAGTTTAATCTCACTTATTTGTTTATTTAATTCTTTTGGTTTAATAAAAGATTTTTATGGCAATATGATAGTATTCCGTAATAAATGTCTCTCATCGACACTGCTTCGGCTTTATATGACTGCATATTGTAGTTGCTTGTGTTGTTGAAACCATATTACCAGCATGGATGCTCGTACGTGTATATTTCTCAGCTTACTAGCATTTCTAATTAAGTCATGTAAATATTAGCCTCCTACAAATTTATGCCGTTTATGTATCTTTTGGTGATTTTTTTTTTTTTTTATATTATTTTCCTTGTTTTCCACAAGGTTTGGGCTATTGCAGATTCTAAACGACAAGGTTTTCTTGGTTTTAAAGAGTTTATTACGGCAGTTCAGGTTCTGATATCTTCTCTCCCTCATTTATATTTGGCTTAGCTCCAGTATCGGAAAAGATGCTAATTTTCTCTTGTATCTTAATTTCTAGTTAGTTTCTTTGGCACAAGCGGGGCATGCATTAACTAGTGATATCATATACGCTGAAGGTAAGTAGCAGTATGGTTTCACCTTCGTTCTCTTTGTTTGGGAATAATGTGGTCCGGAGGAGTGATAAGCATATTGATGCTTTCTGGTCTGTCTGTCTTGGAATCTACTTTATCCTTTTCATATGTTAGCCTTACTAGTTTAGCAAATTATAATTGTTACAGTTGACTTTGAAAGTCTGAAACCTCCAGCAATGGATGGGTTGGAGGCGCTACTAGCTGTGAGTATACCAATGTCCTTCCTAATTCTTTTTGCAAATCTCTTGGATCGTTCACTGATAATTCTCACTTTGTTATTGCATTTATGCAGAAGAAAAAGCATACACCGAAAAGTGACCTAGAACAAAATGGTGAGACTGTTATTGATCTAGCTACATATTTTGTGTTTCTTTCCTCTTTTCCTTGTTTAGAGACCTGAGTTTGTAAAGTTCATATTTGTTCTGCAATTCAGGCATTCCTCAGTTGCAGTCTTCACCATCTGCTAATTGGTTTTCTTCGTCAAAGTCTGCAAAGAAGGTGCATTGTAACAACTACTTTGTCTCTAAAGGATGAAATATTGCACTTTTTCCTATACTTTTTGCATTGATACATTTTACACAATCCATGTTATTTAATTCTTTGCATTTTCTGTTCCCTTCATAGAATTTTATTTCTAGTGTTGGGTAAACTGTTTTACAATACTCTCTATTATGTATCAAAGTAATGTGATGCAGCGAGATGATAAACAGAATGGATTTGGGGCTGTAGAGAGGTCAGACTGGAAGATTTGATATATCTTCTGTGGCCATTATCGAAGCTGCCATAGGACTCTAGTACATGACAAGATGACAAAAAAGTTTGATGTGGACCGTAGTACATCAACTAGTATGCTAATAGGATTTGAACACTATTCCACAAAGAGCACTTCTTAATGTGCAAGAACTTGCCCATTGATGATTAATTTTGCATCATGTAAACACACTTTACTTATTGTTTTGGGTCCTATAATGAGCTTTGCTTTTGCTTTGTGTCTTGTCAGGTGTCTCTAAGCTCTGTTACATCAATTGTTGACGGATTGAAGAAGTTGTACGTCCAAAAACTGAAGCCATTGGAAGCAACATATCGTTTCAATGATTTTGTTTCCCCTTTGTTGGTGAGTCATGCGTCTGCTTTGTTCTTCACTTGAGGGATTTGGATATGGTTGTGATTCCATTGTCTTAATTAACTGAAATCATAGTTGACTGGATTGTTCCTTTCCCTAGACAAATAGCGATTTTGATGCTAAGCCCATGGTGATGTTGTTGGGTCAATACTCAACTGGGAAAACAACATTCATTAAACATCTGCTCAAAACGAGTTATCCAGGTATTTAGATCTTCATGCGGAGTCTGCGTATCTACTCTAATATCTCCTTAGAAGATAGGACCTTTCTGATCATTTTATGTGTTATTTTCACAGGTGCTCACATTGGACCAGAGCCTACAACAGACAGATTTGTTGTTGTTATGGTATTTTTGCCACTCAATTATTTTTCATTTTTCTTTAATAGTTCATCTGTATCCAAATCATTATTCAATGGATGAAAAAAAAGTAAATATTTGCCTTACCAGTATAAGCCCACAAAGTTTCAAATATTAGATTTCAGGATTTCTTATTCCAGAATTCCAACTCCACATTAGGCATAAGGAAAGTAATTGGAAATTTGTTTACTTTTATTCTTGGGCTTATTGCTTTATTTTGTTTTCTACAGAATGGACCCGATGAAAGAAGTATTCCAGGGAACACTATTGCTGTACAAGCAGATATGCCATTCAGTGGTCTGACTACCTTCGGAACTTCCTTTTTGTCAAAATTTGAGTGCTCTCAAATGCCACACCCAGTAAGTGGCTACTTATTCCCCCTTCCCCCCCTCCCTGCGAAAAACTAGCAGAATCTCCTGAAATGGTTTTCAAACTTACTGTTCATTTGAACTTTATAAGCTGTTGGAGCATATTACATTTGTGGACACCCCCGGAGTTTTATCAGGAGAAAAGCAACGAACACAGAGAAGTTATGACTTTACTGGTGTCATATCATGGTTCGCTGCAAAATGTGACCTCATTTTGCTTTTGTTTGATCCTCACAAACTTGATATAAGTGATGAATTCAAACGTGTAATTGCATCTCTACGAGGTCATGATGATAAGATTCGGGTAGTCTTGAATAAAGCTGATCAAGTTGATACTCAACAAGTAAGTAGGTAGAATCAATTTCATCATCCAACACTCTCCCAAATATCAAAATATAGTTCTAGTCTTCTGATATACTTGCCTCCCTTCTCCCTGTATTGTAGCTTATGCGAGTTTACGGAGCTCTAATGTGGTCTCTTGGCAAAGTTCTGAACACTCCCGA